TTAAAATGGATAAATTTGTAAATAAAATTAAAAAATTTTAATCCGTTAGCAGTTCGGTACAAAAAGTTACATGAACTAGCTTTTTCAATCCGCTAGCGGTTTGGACTCTAATCGTTATCCGTTAGTTTCAAACCGCTAAATAAAAATTTTATCAAACACTTTATTTATAGCGGTTTTGAAATATGTAAATTTATCAAACACCTATATTTAGCGGTTTAGGTAAAACCGCTAACCGTTACCCCAAAACCATTATACCAAACGAGGCCTAAATAAAATTACCAAATAGAAACTAGTGAGTAGACATAAAATAGATTGAGTAATCAATACCATACTAATATACATATTGGTTTTATTAGTGAAACACTATATATCAAATACTGAAATTTTTTGTGTATCATTTTAGATTTATCACTATAAATATATTTTTTTATAAATTAAATATCAAATTTTTTTTTCATAAATTAAATATCAAATTTTAAAATAAAAAAAATGAAAAATAACCAAAGAATTACATAACAAAAATTAAATGGAAAACAATAGGGCAAGCCTCTTGATTAAATCATCAGATTATAATTTTATAAAATGGAAAATGAAAACTTTTTACAATCACAAAATGGTCAAACCGAGTATACATCTGCACATTAGATCCTTATGGCCCTATACACATCAATTGGGGGAGAATCAAAGAGGGTAATTGAAGAAGATCAAAAGAAATAATCAGAAAAGGGATAATCAATGCCCAACCCCCCAAGTTAACCAAATAACAAAGACTCATTCAATATCCATATCCCAAGCACACACATAATCGTCCACTCGTCAAACCCTTAAGAATCTAAATCGAAAAACAAAAGGAAAAACGATCTAGATTTTCACTTGCTAATGAAATCAATAGCATAAGAAGGAAAGATTGAGACAAAAACTCATCTCGCTAAGTTGTATGCCAAGAGAAAAAGCAAGAGGAAAAGGAATGAAAATGCAAAGCAAACAAAATAGCTAAGAGATAGGGTTGGAGAGTGATGAAGAGATATACTAATCAAGATTCAAGATTTAGGACTCCCAAAATAAAAAGTGAAAAGAGAGAGCAGCGACAGTAAAGCATCCATTGGTGAGGACAAGGTGAGGAAGGATAACTACAAATCTAAAATTGTAAGGGTTAAGAAGCCGCTAACCAAAATGACATCATTTTAATTAGATTTTCTTTTTTAATTTGAATATAATGTATATCGGTTAAATCTTGATGTTAAAATTTGACTTAAATACTTGAAATTTGACCGAAATAAAATTAAACTTCTTTCGTTTCGGATTACTTGAGAAAGACTGATACATACCGGCCGGTACGAAACGGCATTGGCCTCTTTGATACAGACCATTTCTCCGCATTCCTGCAAGGTTGAAACCCAATATAAAACTCAATCAAACCAAATACTCAGATCTGCCTTTCATGTTTTCAATCTAATCTAGCAAGACCCAGAAGACCAATTTGAACAAGTCTTTACCTTTCTCTGCATCTGATCGAATAGAAAAGAAAGGGAAAAAATGTACAGAAAGGCATCATATAATAGGATATCCAATATGGTATTTCGATCACGAATTTCTTCCCTGTTGCTATCAATGTTTGCCACTCTCGCTGCCATCTATGTTGCTGGCAGGTTAGTTCTCTTTCTCTCTCTCCTTTTTTTTTTCTCTTGAATTTCTTGTATAATTTATTGAGTTTAGTTTGATTGCAATAAAATTCGTTTTTTCTGAGAAAAGGCTTGTTATTGAAATTGATGTGGGGCTTTTTTTTTTTTTTTTTTTTTGGCTTAATTTCTGGTTTTCTTTCTGGGGTTAGATTGTGGCAGGATTCTCAGAACAGGGTTTATCTGATAAAAGAGCTAGACAGAATTACTGGTCAGGTAAGATTTTTATTAGTGTTATTGATGATTTTGGAATTTGGCTCTTTCTGGGTTTTGTAATTTATAAGTTCATTGCTTTAATATGTAGTTTCAGTACGGAAAAGGGGGGGGGGGTGTTTCTTTGTACCCAAATCTCATATGGGTTGATAACACTAGGGTGAAATCCTGAACTTTGTAGAAGCCCAAACGGTGGCAATTATTCATTTTCTTACTACCATGATCATTTAAGCTAAATGATAAGTACTTGATATGAAACTCCGTTAGCTCAGTTTGGTAGCTGCTTCATGGTTCGCATACACATATAAAGCTGATGGAAATTAGGCAAGTGCATTTCATGCCGATGCACTTACTGACAATATGAGTAGATACATATATAAGTATTTATCAAATTTCCCTTTTTATTCATTCAAGTAAATTTATGGTCCTTGTGTTTGGGAGGGGCGTTTTTGAGGTTCTTTTTGAAAAATAACAAAGTTAACCTGTGCCATTTTTAGGGCCAATCTGCTATATCAGTTGACGATACTTTGAAAATCATATCTTGCCGGTAAGGTGATTGCTATGTTTTATTTTTTTTTTATTTTTATATTGGTATGGTTTTTGTTGTTATTTTAATGTTTCATAGTGGCTGTAAAATGAGGATTTCTACTACAGTTTGAAGCTTTGAATTATTTTATTGAGGATGATTTTCTTTACAGGGAACAACATAAGAAATTATCTGCCCTGGAGATGGAGCTAGCTGCAGCTAAACAAGAAGGTTTTAACTCAAAGAACTTGGAAGATATTGATGGATCTGTGTCAAAGAGAAGACCACTTGTGGTGATAGGAATACTAACAACTTTTGGTCGTAAGAACAATAGAGATGCAATCCGGAAGGCATGGATGGGAACTGGTAGAGTACTGTCAATTTTTCTCTTCTTTGTTTGGTGGGATTTTGTTCGTGGAGATTCGTATGCCATTTTATGATCTCATAAGGAAAATGTTCCATATCTGTGAGTGATTCATCCTATTTCAGATAATGTATTTAGCTCCCTCCAGCCAAAGCACACAGGCACAGTTATAAATGCCTCAAGTAGATCATATTTATCATTTCCCCATTGAATTCTTCTTGCAGGTTTTTTTAAATTTGGAACTTTTTGACAAAATTAATGAAACTAATTTTATTTCTGCATTCTAAGAAGGATATCATCTAGATGAATGTAAGTTGATATCAAAAAAATGACTTTATGTTCTGGCTCTTGAGGATGCAAACCTAAACTTTTGTTTTCCAGGTGCCACACTGAAGAAAATGGAGAATGAGAAGGGCATAATTTCACGGTTTGTTATCGGAAGAAGGTATTCTTTTATTATTGTTATTATTATATTCTGTGCTAAATTATCATAATAGTGTGCTACAGAACTTGTTCTTAAAATTTGTTGCTTTCAGTGGAAATCGTGGTGACAGTTTGGACAGGGGCATTGACAATGAAAATGGGCTAACCAATGACTTTATGATTCTTGTAAGTAAAGAGGAAATTTTCTAGCTTGTTTTGTATTTTGTTTTAAAAGGGCCAGAAGACCATTCCCTGCTGAATTTAAGTAATTATTGCTACTGTGCATTCTAGTTCACTACCAACTTATCTAATCAGATCATTTATCCTGCTATCATTGACAGGATCAAGTGGAGGCACCAAAGGAGGTTCCAGCAAAGGCTAAATTGTTTTTTGCTCATGCTGCAGATAAGTGGGATGCTGAGTTTTATGCCAAAGTCAATGATGATGTTTATGTGAATATTGGTCAGTATCATAATGAATTGAGTAATACATTGCCCTTGCTTCTTTAATGCTGATGTGCAGGTTGTACATTGATAGGAACTTGAAAGATTCTTCTTTAGAAAGTTATGTCACATAGCCAGTGGCTGCAGTTGTTCAACTTCTTTGGTTCCCCGTGGTTTCTTTTTTATCATCAGAATCAGATTACTTCCATCCATCTTTTATTTATTTGATCTAGAAACTTGGATGAACTATATTTTTCTTAGGGGGTGTTTGGTTGGGGGGAAACTTTGTTCCCTAAAGTTTTCTAAGTTTTCCCCTTACAAGGATATTTATGTATTTTCACAAATTAATACTACAATAAAAGGAGGGCAAAAGTGGCATCTTTAACCTTTATTTTCCTTGACACAATTCCCGCCCTGCAAACTTTTCTTCCCACACTTTTTGAAGGGAAAAAGTTTTCCCCTAACTTTCCCTATGTAAGATCCACTTGACAACCTCCCTACCGACTTTCCCTATACCAATTTCTTACCAAACACAGAAAAGTTAGCAACCCAACAAAATTTTAACAAACCTTCCACTACAAAACTTATCAATTTTCGGTACAACACTTTCCTAACCACTTTCCTAGTAAAAACTTTCCTGGTAAAGTTGGCCCTCTCACCAAATAGGCTAGTGTAAAGTTGACTTGAGTAGAGATTTGGATTTGTTTATGTAGGTTTGAGATTTTAGGGGCTTACCTCTAGGAACCTCTCAACTTTGATCAGCTATGTTCTTTGTGCCATCATAATGGTGGTCTAGCTTAGTGGAGATTCATCATGATGGTGGCATCTTATAAGACATTAAGGAAACATCTAATATTGGCATAGTGTACAGTTTCTTAGTTAGAGCTTTGTTTTTTTACCATTGAGAAAGTTCTTTCTCTATCAGCTTATTAGTTACCTCTTCATCAATTTGGTTTTACAGACACCTTGGGAGCCACACTTGCATCTCATTTGGACAAGCCCCGTATTTATATGGGGTGTATGAAGTCAGGCGAAGTTTTCTCTGAACTGTGAGTATGGCATAGATAGTTAACATTTTAATGTATGGCTTTCATGATGGGAATTGGGTATTTACTTAAATGCCTTTTATCCATTCTCACGTTTGTAATTGCTCGATGTTTGCAGGAGTCATAAATGGTATGAACCTGAGTGGTGGAAGTTTGGTGATAAGAAGTCGTAAGTGATATTGCCACAATTTTTGTTTCTCGTTTTAGTTATAGGTGACACCTAAGACGACATGATCCATGCTTTGTGGTATTAATACATTACCTACTTTGTAAGTTAACATTTTGTGGGTGTATTTTAGCTGCCTACAATATGCCCATCACTTTACCAGACATGGCCATGTACTTTCACACATTTTGATGCATTCTTCTTGTTTGATTTACCTTGTTAACCCAATAATTATAAGTACATAGTTAAAAAAAAAAATAATTATAGGTCCGATTACTGTGCTGAAAATTTGCATCCTAGCAAAACTGTACTCTTAGTATGAGCTATGCAATCAAGATTAGATTTCTGAAATAAGTTTGGAAAGTACTTATATTTAAATTCTTACAACTTTTAATACCGTATACTGCACCAATGTAAACATGACCTACACATCTGTAGGCATAGCTATCAAATGTATGGATCTGAAAGCAGATATATGTTTCTTCTACCATGTCTTCTCTCATTTTTCCTGTTTAGAATTTTCCATGCTCTGTTTGAACTTACTGAATTAATTTCCCCCATCCAATAGATACTTCCGCTATGCCTCCGGAGAAATGTATGTCATATCACGAGCGCTGGCTAAATTTGTATCAATAAATAGGTTGGTCCTTTTCTTTCTGTTTCATGTTACCACAATCTTATAAGCTCTACCATTTTCAAACAAGAAGTTAATCCTGATTTATTGACTGCAGATCCATTCTGCGTACCTACGCTCATGATGATGTCAGTATAGGATCCTGGTTTATTGGGCTTGATGTCCAACATTTGGATGAAGGGAAGTTTTGCTGCTCAACTTGGTCAACAGGTCTCTCCCCCATTGTTTTGTGTCATTAGATGAGAATAGTTGGGAAGAACTTCTATATTTATCTGCGGCACTGACATTTTTCATTTATATAATTCAGGAGCCATTTGTTCTGGAGTTTGAGGGTGCGTTTGGGATTGCTGTGAAGTGCTGTGACTATGCTTAACTGTGGTTGTACTGTGCGTAGCTAAAA